AATACTTGTCTGAAATTGTTATTCATAAATCTATAACGCAGGGACACAGATCCGTGACTACAATTCTCTCTCTTATGATAAAGGAATTATGATCCGAGAGGTCTTAGATGCTACACCCTGTATATTCACCGACACAATGTGAACTCGAAAGATCAAACAATCAGATCATGCGATTTTCCCACTGGTACACGTATTACACTTTCATAATATAAGTTGCCTCGATAAACCCTAAAACCCCCACCACCCTCATCATCGAATGTGTGGAAGAAGCATTAGAATTGTGGGGTGTGGCAGCAGTAACACTTTCTTAGGGAAATAAAAATACGTAGATCTTCTTGTATCCAGACTACCATATAGAAATGCTACCACCACGAGAGCTTACAGGGAGGCTGTGGATGAGTCATCGCACAAAAACGCACATATCATGGCTTACGTGATACCTATTGAGACCAAAATTTATAGGTTTCCAGTTTGTAATTATTGATAATAGACTATAAAAATGTTTATACAAACAACTGCGTCTTTAAATTCGATTTAATGGCCTTTTTAGGTAATAGATGTAACAACTTACTTCGAATTGTGACATAATGAGAGATATTTAGGAGTTGCGACAGTATAATAATGTGCTGCTACGTAGTCATATCTATATTTCTTAATCCATAAAGAACGACATTTCGAAACAATCGACCATATTTAAAAAGAGTTGCCCTGCACAAGAACTGACAAGCGGCCAATACAATCTAAAAGGAGCTGACAATATACCAAAATTGTGTAATTTATTTTTGAAGAAGTAATAGTTTGAAATTCAATTTGCATGAAGTCACTTTCAGATATAGAACAAGGGGGTTTACAGGAAGAAAACTGTGCGACCCCTTTGTGATGAGCTGACTCCTGGCTCAATAAAATTGATCGGTCATTTTTCTCTAAGCGCAATAGTAAATAACACAGCAGATGGTTCAAACAATGGGGCGTCTTGGTGTTATAGAAATACCTACTGTTTCCCATTATTTGAAGCCAATTTAATCATCTTCGCTGTGTGCAAAGATCATACTAACTTTGCTGTGTGTAAGGTGTTAAGAGCACAGTTTGAAGTAAAATGTGTTCCGAAAGGGGGTTTTCTGAAAATATGACTAACAAGCGGATAACTTGAGGATTAAATTGTAGCGACTTTTCTAGAACGATATCAAGGCGCCATCAAGTCGATAAGAAATGAAAGTGGATGTGAGACATTCTTTCCATGAAATATGATATGCTAATTCAAGAATTTCCTAGGTTTTTTCTTTGCTATATAAGCAAATTGAATTGTGTTTAATTTAGGTCTTAATATCGATGCCGAAGTGATAAATAGTGAAATCTGCGCTCGTGTTATAAATCTGTTATAAATGTATTAATGATGTTAATATAATTGAACTGTAAGATATCAATTTATTTAAAAGCACCATTTTAATCAAGTTTCTCCGTAATAGTGATAGTTCCCGTGAACATTAATAATTAATTGTACATAAATAAACCATGTAATTAAATTTACGTTACATAAAAATAAGAAATTTTGTTTTTAATTGACAAATATTTGTAGACTCCAAAAAAGTTACAATAGTTTTACCCAAAATCGTCACGAAACCTTTATTTTCATGCCTACTTGATGACAGGAAATTTTAGTTTCCATGACACAGGCCACTACCAGACTCTTTTTCTTGCCACCTGTCTCTTTTCCGTCACAGTGCTAAAATAATGACTCGGCCCCAAAGGACCCTCGTACTTCAATATTTCCTCGCCAGTAATGTGCCAGTGAAAAGTAATAGTTATTTACACAAAAGTCTGAAAAATGATGCATTACTGGCGAGGGAATATTGCAGTACGAGGCCTCTTTGGGACCGAGTACTCTATTTTCCGAGTCAAGTTGTGCCATTTTAATGTCGAACTTTGTATTAAATTTTACCAGAAATCGTATTTTAATATAAAATTTCAATTTTCATATACAAAACTTTTGACGAATGTCAATCTGTCAGTGACGACATTAAGGAAAGTGACAAGTGCGGCCGGAAAAGTGACAGATGTGCCCCGTAAAGTAACAGGCGGCAGAAAATGTATTCTGGTCTGCCTTTGTCATGAAAACTAACATTTTCTGTCATAAAATAGGCATGAAATGAAGGTTTCATGACAATTTCGAGTAAGAGTCTCATTCGGGAAATCCTCTGCACCTTTTAACAATACGGTAACTTAGTATGTTTGTCCCTGAACGATACATTTGCGAAATGACAATTTCTGCTCCTCTCAATTCTCAAACAATACCGTTTAAACCTTTACCTAAATATGAATCAGTAATCCAACCTTTTTTAGAGCATTTTAATCACAGTTGGAAAAAGTGCATTATGTCGAAGGGAAAATATGTCGCTATTCTTAAACTCTAAAATCGTTAGGAACGATTCGATACTCAAGAATTTGGTGCGTTTTTGTCGTGTACTGGCGATTAGTGACTGGGTGAAAGGTAGAACATTTTTTAAGATGTTCTTGGACCTTGGGAAATTTACACACTTAAATTGTACACTTTAAAACCATTTATTTTACTTCCTAAATTCTGTCACAAATGGGCAACATCAACGTCCATATACAGTGTGAGTTTTATCCGATGTTTAATATGGAGACCTCGTACTCTGCACACAGAGTGTTTGAAAAGTTTTGTTCGAGAAAGTAGTTTTTGAAAAAGAAAATGTATTTAAACTGAAGACACCTGGTCGTAATTTTGGTACCTGAAGCTGGTAACAAACCCTAAAAGTACACCATTAAACTACAAAAATCAGCTGGCTTAGGAAATGTACAAATGAACTAATGAGAAAATGAGAGCCAAAACGCAAATTACTCCGAAGAAACGCAACAGTTTATACATAAATTACACAAACGCCTGTAATTATTACATAACTTGGTAAAAATACGATAGGTATACAAATTGTACGTCAAAATGGTATTTTACACATGCCTATTATCTGTAGAAATCAGTCATGCTCTATAAATAATAGCAGGATATAATTACGCGAATTTTCGTATTACATAATGATTTTTTAATTACACCGCTAAAATATGCGAATAAAATTTCATCAATACCGCCTACTTGCCAGTTTTCACTTACAATCCGCTAATTGTAAATCGACTTCGGTAATGAATGGTTTCGCCTTAGGTAGGTACCTAATATAGCGATCTTGTAAAGTACCAAGACGCGCAATGTGTCCCGATCTCTTGATCTCCGGCCAATTTATTTTAATTAATTACAGG